AATCAGTTGTGTGTCTCCAAGTATTTGGCTGTTGACCGTGAGCCAAATCTTTCAAAATAGAAAACTGAATCATCGCACTTGAAACACAAAAGGAGACGGTGAAATAAGGGGCCTCTAGAGTGCCCCCCCGTATCCTAAGAAATTAAAACAGGGCTATTCAACTAATTTCAAGGTTCAGGATCTGGAATGATGACGTGATTTTACCATCAGGCCTGCTTTGCATAAACACAAGCCTGAAGATATCCAAAGAGGATTCAGGGATCCTTAACGAGTTCATGTCAAAACATTTTGCATCAATTAAAAATACAAGTCTTTATAAAAGCCATGCCTTCAACAAATTTAAGACATTCAAGGTTGCATTATTAATGTCGGGCACTCAAGACGTTCCACAGTAAACAGACTTTAGACCTGGGCATAAAGTCAAGTCCAGCGAGTGCTTTAATTGCAGGTCTCCACACCTCAGTATCAAACAAGAAAACTACCAAATGAAGGCCATCTCTGATCTGACTGGCACTGATAAGTCTGCAGATACAGAATCAAACCGCAACACATAAATATAATGCTCTGCATGCTTCTCTCAGTCTAAACGCAGATTATGTCATCTCGAACAGGAAGAGGAGATAAGCCTTTTTTCCTTTTTATTTCACATAGATAAATAATTCAGTTATCGCTGCAGATGGTAGGCCCGAGGTTGTCTTTAATGTGTGCATTTAAGGACACTGTGCTAAACTCTCTCTTGACAACCTTAACTATATTAGCAAACGTAACCTGTCAGTGAAAGGGAGGCTGGTCTGTTCTGTGGGGCGTGCGGGTGCAGCCAGCTGCTGCTGCTGCTGCTTGAAGGCGGGCTTCACCTCGTCCCTCCTCACCAAGATTCCCACGACCTCCCTGCCCCCGCGCATGGCTGAGGATATTGTCAGACTCCAAAAAGGCTCATTTGCAGCTATAAATCTGGACAAATAATAACGCTCTCTATGGAGTGCAGTGCATGCAGACAGCAAGACAGCTCCTCTCCATCTCACACCCTCTCTTCTCTAAACGTTCGATGCAACAGAGAGGCTTGACACCAAGCATCCTCGTACATCTCCCCCGATGCTAAGGCCAAGCTACAGTGTCTAGTTTTATCAGCTGCAGTTTGGCCCGCAGTATAGACCCGGATTGGTTGCATTTAAAACCACTTAAGTAAAAATAAACCTACCAGCGCCAGACGGTCCCGGCTCCATCCCATTCACTTAGCCGCGCGGGTACAAGCTAGCTAGTCCGGGGGGTGCTGTGGCCAAACCGCCGGCCCCCTTCAGGCTGGAAGCGTCTCAGACTTCCAGCCCCCTCCTCTCGGCGTGCAGTCTTCTCCTTTCTCGGTGTACCCCCGCCCCCTGCCCCTACCAGAACCCCCCCAGACCCGCAGAGGAGTTAAGGCTAACGCCGATAGCTGCCAGTTGCTCGTCTGCCCGTTGACCCTATAGCCAGTAACGGCGCAGCTGCAGGGCGATGCCGTCCTATTTCGAACCACTCTTCCTCGGCGGCGCAGCGGGATCCTTCCCGGTGCTCTGATTTAGCCGATGGTCCGCGGCGCTGTAGTTTCTTGCCGTTCTGTTGTGCTCCTGCTCACCGTTCAAGCAGGACTCTCCAGCGGAACAAAAAAGGCCAGCCCCTAGCCCCCCTCAAAAAATCTGAAACTTCTTCTTTGCCATTGGAAAGTGTGAAGGAAGTGTTGACGAACTTGCTGTCACACCCCAGAGGTCGAAGGTGGAACTACACTGCAGATATGCAAATACAGCTAAATTATGTCTCACGTGTCAGAGACTGTGTGCTCAACGCTGAGGTTTAAAACTAATGATCACTCGTCTTACTTCGCTCTAAAAATACAGCCAACATATTCTGAGTACATTTTAAAGGTGCTACATCAGGGGTTTGATCAGTTTAATCTCAAAGGGGGAAGATCAGTAAAATTATCTATAATAACAACCTAGAGCATAATAACCTATATATCTGCTGGTGTAAAGAAGTTAAAGCAGTGCAATTTGAGTTCTAAGCATCCCAGAAACTATTCAGAAAAGCATAAAGTCAAACATGACTTTTAAAAACACCAGTATAGGCTTTTAAGGCCTACAAGTAAAAAACTACATTTTCCGCGAAAATGACATCACGTCCGGTTCTGGGCAGGTAATGGCGGTCATGCCATCGGTCCTTTTTTTCTTTTTTACTTTATTTAACAAACAATGAGTATACAACATATGAACAGATGAAGTATACAAAAAAACAGAACATGAACACACAAAGCCAGGGGTAAAAAAAAGTAACAATTATAAGAATACACACAAAAATTCACATATATATGTTGTTTTGAGAGCCTTTTTGTTGGTGGAGTCTGACATTGATTGTATGTACATTTCCACATCCTTAAAAAATGACAGAAATATGGTGTTTTGTTAGTAAACTTACATTTATGGATAAAAAAATTAGCTAAAAGTATTAACAAATTTATCATAAAAAAACATTTATCATTCTTCTTGGGGAACTTAAAGAAACAGAATAAAACATTTCCCATCATAAAGAAAACTCCCTTAAAATATGGACACAAACAGCTGATCAGATCGGCAAAGCGGGTTTCTGGAATATTATGTTTTTGTTCCTGCAAGCGCTTTTTATGCAATTTTTGCAAAGCTATATGTGGAAGGAAACCGTGACCTAGGACAGGCTGATGGCATAAAGTACAACTCCTCCGGTTTCATATGCAAAAAAAAATTATTGCGCTAGCTTACATGGTTCCAGTTCTACAGGGATTTAAAAATAGTTACGCAAAACGGAGTGTGCCCGCTCCAACCAGCTTTAAAGGGTTAAAGAACATTGTGAAACACATTTATTCTAACATTCTTTTATGAAACAGATGATTGAAAGTCAAAGAGTTCTCAATTTCAAGACCTTTCCATCACATGCATCAACCAAAGCAGAAAGTGGACCATTTGGCTTTGTCATGTTCACATTAAGAGCCATTGCAGTTGTGCAATTAGCAATCTTGAAATATAACATTTAACCTTAATTGATAAACTTGTGAACCTACATGCTTGATATGTGAACACCAAGTCTTTCATTTGTCTTTTTTCATCCTCTTTTAGAAATTGTGGCAGATCAGTATTGCCAACTATACATTTGTCTTGGTTTATGTTTATTTTAGTAAAGAGCTTAATGATTAATTTATTGATCTGTAATTACTAATTTTATTGCTGTTACATATTTGCTTTTTGAGGCATTAATAACCATATTTTAATCTAAGGCTTTAATTCAATATTTATATCTAAGTCTTTAATGCTTTCATGGCTTGCCTTTGGAAAAAGAAGAAGAAGAAGTAAAAGCACAAGAAAGAATACTTTATTTTTTAATAAATTACCATGCAGTGTTTATTCTTTTAGTCCTACATTGATTATTTTGTACAGGAAAAAAAGAACAAATGTGCACATTTCCAATAAACTTTAGGGGCTAGAAATAAAGGAATGAATGAATGAGCTCCAATTGAACATTTGAATTCTTACAATACAATATTACAATATGGGTTGATATATTTATGAGAATATATAAAGAATTAAATGGGACAATGGATATTTATTAAATGTATTGCCATTATATTTTTTCTCATGTCCCACACGTAGTTGGTTAGGTATGAAAATCACTTAGGGTAGTTGAAATTCAACATGCTGACATTTCAAATATATATATTTTTCCACTAATGACGTAAAACCTTGTTTTTAACTTGATCAATATAAAAATGTAGCTGTATTATTATATCTGTAATATTGTATGAAAGTCTTGAATCACTGCTCAATTTGTATGTTTTTCTATGAAAATGTGAAATAGATGCAACAATTTATTGAAATGTGCAAACACGCATGGAAATCCAGCCCTTTAGGCAATGGAAGAGTTTGTACAGGTTTATGAGCCTGATAGTTATAATTCGGTAGGACCACCTTTATTTTCCAACACAGCCTGAACTCTGTTAGGCAAATATTCATGTAATTTCTTTAGTAGACTTCAGGAATAGTTCTCCAAGCTTCTTAAAGGACATTTTGAAGCTCTTCTTAAGATGTTGGCTGCTTTTTGTTCTGTTCTCTGTCAAAATATTCCCACACTGCATGGTGGCTCAAAAGTAGAGAGTACTTTTCTGCATTCATAATTGCATCAATTTTGACAAGATCCCCAACACCGCTGGTTGCAATGCAGCCTAAAACTATAGCCTGCACCAGCAGATAGCTGCAGACTGTTGTACTGCTCTCCCGACCTCCTCAGTACTGACAGTGATTTGAACCAAACATTTTACAATTGGATTCATCGCTCCATAACATCTGTTTCCGTCGATTTTCAGTTCAGTTCTTATATAATATGGCACGTGCCATATTATATAAGATTATTATATATTATATTATATATATTATATATACACCTCCGCCTTTTCTCACTGTTTCCATTCGTTAAGAATGGCTTCTTGACAGCCACCCTTCCACTGACACGATTGCTGATGAGGTCTCAGTGAACAGTAGGTGGATCAGCTGAAGGGCAAGGTGCATCTCTCAGGTCCAGTGTCAGGTGTTTGTTGGATTTTTTTCCTATTTATTATTGGATTATTATATTACAATCCTCCCCCCCTCTCAAACGCCATTGATGTCTTTGGCTTTTTATGTTCGAGTTAATATTTTTTTTTAAAAAGACATTAAAAAGATATTAAAAATAAAAGATTTTAATTTACTTGTCATCCCTTAGTTCATATTGTGGTGTTTTTACTTCAGTAAACGTTGAGAAGACCACTTCCCTTTAGTTAAGGAAATCACAGTCAGTCCTTTGATTGGAGCGTAGCGTGCGTCCATCCGCATGATTCAAAAATCTACTAACTGCTGACAGGAAGTCGTCAGCACGCTCATACGTCACTTCACTCCAATACGGAAGAGGTCGTCATCGTTAAGGCTGTGAGTTGGAAGGTATGTGAAATGTGATAAAACGATCACAGTTTGTGAGTAGAACAGCTCGTGCTTCAGTAGTTTGAATGAATGAAGCACTGTATGTGTTTCCTGGGCAACGAGGGCGCCCGCCAGTCCTTTACCAGTCTCGCGGCGGTTTAGTTCCCTGCAGGTCTCGTGAGCCGGGCTTGCAGTTAACGGTGAAATCCATAAGTGGCTGCAAATGTAATGCAATATCTTCTAAAAATGGGACGTTAATGTGGGAACCGGATGCCTTCCCTTTCGTGAAAGCTTAAACTTGGTGAAGTTTTTTTTTTCTTCTGGAAGAGGGAGTGTGTGCGGTAGGAGTGCTCTTTGAATCCCCCCCAACCACCTTTTTATAAATAAACCTTTCTGTCTTTTGGCAGCACGGATATGTCGTGGATAAAAGAAGGCGAGTTGTCCCTGCTTGAAAAGATTTCTGCCAATATCCTAAAGGTAAGCTGTACGTTATACGTTGACTGTCTTTTCCAGCCTCGCTTTTGTCGGTCTTCTGCCTTTCTGTGACTCAAATCAAATCACTTTTATTGTCACATCACATGTGCTGGTACACTGGTACAGCGCATACGAGTGAAATTCTTGTGTGTAAGCTTCACAAGCAACAGAGGTGTGCAAAATATAAGAAAGGGAATCTGAAAATTATAAGAATGCATATATGTATACCAAATATGTGTGCCTTGACAAAAATATCAAGTATGTCATTTCAGAGTATCAAACAGTGACAAACTGAGCCATTTAGAAAACATCAAACTATTTATTTATTTGTTTGACAAGATTAAGATTCAGAAAATACCATAAAGAAAAGCTTACAAATAATAATAATAATAGTTCTTAATTAAATATCTAGGGGCATGAGCTGGTGCTATTATCTGTAACCCCTGAGGGGGCCACAGGGAATGACTTATTAGTTATCATTCAAAATGCAAACATATTAGTTGATGGTGATGAGGTTTTGTTTTGTTTTTTAATCTGGAAAATGCTATTTTATTTAAATTTGAAATGTTTAGAAAAAAGTTGTACGTGACATTTTTGTGACAAGATATCAGCAGATATTTACATAGAATTAGACAGTGTTGGTCTTTTATATTTTCGATTGCTTTAATGCTTTTTCTTCTGCATTTCTTTTGACTGTTGTCTTCCAGGCAGGACCCATGCCTAAACATGTGGCCTTCATCATGGATGGTAATCGACGTTTTGCACGTAAGAAAAACATGGAACGGCAGGAAGGACACATGCAAGGCTTCAACAAGCTGGCAGAGGTGAGTTTGGGGGTTTCGGTTACAGGAAATGCATGTCACATGGGCAGGACACAAATCGATGATGTGTGTCAAAATGCTTTGTCTTCTCCACACCAGACACTACGTTGGTGCAAGCATCTGAACATCCCAGAGGTGACGGTATATGCCTTCAGCATTGAGAACTTCAAGCGCACCGAAGATGAGGTGGATGGTTTGATGGAGCTCGCCAGGCAGAAGTTTGAAAGGCTGCTGGAGGAACAGTGAGTTTCGAGCTGAGTTTTCCACTTTGCTTGTGGTCACAGTTTGTACATCATATGATTCATTGCTTCCTTAAAGTAAGGTTTAGAAAGAGTGACTTGCAGCGCTCAAGCATAAATCTGAAGTTAAAGTAAATGAGGGTCTGTACATGAGAAAATAATTTTAAACCAGTTTTGACGACCTGTTTCCAGCAGAGGCACGAGATCCTTGGAGTTCACCTTTAGGGTGGGCTTGGATGGAAATCTGTTGTTATTTGTTTGTTTGTTTGTTACTTTTGGTTCAGACAGACACAACAACAGTGTTGACACAGAAACATGTACTAATGCATCAGACACTGAGTCAGATACAGTGTGCTAATGCTGGGATGGCCAAGAGGAAGCAAGGGTAAATAGGGAGTCTGTTATTTTCACTGGTCTCTTCAATAGTGCTTACTTTTTCACTGTAGTACAATATGTCAAGCTCAGACTAGTCAACTAACGTGGATTCTCTTTTCATTTTACTCTGTGGTCATTGTGGTGCATGTACTATTTATTTTTTAAGCAGCTGATGACTGCCGCAGATTCCTTTTCAAGCTAAAGTGGAGGTCTGTTAGTCTGCAAGCCATTTCTCTCTGTTTCCACACAAGTATGAAATATTTTACAGCTGACTTATTTCTTCACTTTGGAGAAATAAAACAAAGAGCTTGTTGACTAATCCATTGCTTAATGTTGCCCTTTAGTCTGTATTTGTTGTACACAAGACTGTGGTATAAGTAGCTCACTTGTTCAAATGCCATGTTTTGCTCCTTTTTTTTTAATCTGAGTAACCTGTCTAAAGAATTTAACACTGTAAAAAGAAAAATCTCCTTCTATTGGATGTTGTATTATGTCTATCAAAATTTGGACAAACTTGATTATGAGGCTGCTGGCTGTTTATGATACAAGGTTATTATTTTTCGTACGATTGACATCCTTATGACAAACCACTTTTGCACAGTGTTGGACAGCAGACTGTTTCAAGTCCACTGTACACACTGAGTACTCAAGATTCTCCGGGGTCTTCTTTGTGTTTTTTCTGGGTAGAAAATCCAGACAGACAAGTTTCAGGATCCTGAGTAGTCTTTCTGTATATCCTGTTCATCTTCATGCTTTTCCTATAAATGTTTTTCGGTTTTGTTTTGCAGTGAAAATCTAGAGAAACATGGCGTTTGTATCCGAGTGCTGGGCGACTTGAATATGCTGCCACTTGACCTTCAACAGCTTATTGCCAAAGCCGTGTTCACAACCAGGAATCACAATAAGTATGCTTAGTAGCTTGTGTTTTTCATTCATCACTGTGCATGATATCCTGTACATTAGAAGTGACCACAGCACCACAAATTCTTGTTTTGTAGGTGTTTTGTCAATGTGTGTTTTGCCTACACATCAAGATATGAAATCACCAATGCAGTCAGGGAAATGGCATGGGGAGTAGAGCAAGGCCTAATCAAAGGAAGGTAAATGAAACAGCAATGAGTTCATCTTGTCATCCTTTGTTAAATACTCTGTAGAAAGGTGTCCTGGAGAGCCATTGTGTTAACAAGCTGTTTGTGTTTCTGTGATGTGTAGTGATGTGTCGGAGGCATTGCTAAGTGAGTGTCTGTACAGCAATAACTCGCCAAATCCTGATTTGCTCATCCGCACCTCTGGAGAGGTGCGCCTCAGCGACTTCCTTCTTTGGCAGGTGAGAGTGAGATAGGTGTCATCAACAGCTAATAAAGTTCACTATACACAGTCCCAATCAAAAGTTTAATACCACTTGAAAAATGGCAAAAAATCATATTAACAAGGTTCCAAGTAGAGCTTCAATATGCAACAAGAAGAAATGGGAGTGAGACACAACATTTTTTTGAGCCTGCAAATGATTGAAAACAACGCTTAAAATGAAACAGGCTGTTTTACAGTTGATCAAAAGTTTAGGACCACATGCCTTTAAAAGGCCAAATCTGTGCAAAAATGTGGATTCATTGTCATTTTCTGTGAGGTCGTCACACTGTCGTCACGTTCTGATGGCAAAGGCAAAAAAAACCCTTTCACTTTTTGAACGTGGTCAAGTTGTTGAACTGCATAAGCAGGGTCTCTCACAGTGCACCATCGCTGCTAAGGTGGGACGCAGTAAGACAGTCATTTGGAATTTCTTAAATGATCCTGAGGGTTATGAAACACAAAAGTCAAGTGGAAGATGGTTGCGGTGGTTTCCAACATTACTGGCGTGACAAGAGATGTTTTGGATGGATTCACACTTGCATCAAACATACCGCAACAAATTTTTGCATTAATCAACAATAACGGTGAAGCTACTCATTACTGAGTTCATGTTTGGAACTTTGATTTCTGTTTTGAGGTAGTTTATGTTTTTTGGTTGTTTTTTTTTTTTTTTTGTTTTCTTTGAAGGTGTGGTCCTAAACTTGTGATCAGCTGTAAAACAGCCTTTTTCAGTTTAAGCGCTGTTTTCAATTAGTTGCATGCTTAAAAAAATGTTTTGTTTTGTTTTCACTCCCATTTCTTCTTGTTGTATGTTGAAGCTCTACTTGGAACCTTGTTAAGATCCAACCATGCAAAATATGATATTTTTGCCATTTTTCAAATGGTCTTAAACTTTTGATTGGGACCGGATTTCCCACAAATCTCATCTTTATTTAGACTGATTCTCTCCTATTGATCTCTAAGCAACTCTAACACTTACATCATATAAACTATCCAATCTCCCCTCAGTTCTTCAGTGAGGTGTTGTTGTTATAATTCATTTTAAAATTTTAAATATGATCAGTTTATTTGGCTCCATACCACAGGGCTCTAAGGTGACTGCAGTTACTTACTACCTGTAAAGCATTCACTTGATCCAAATGTTTTAGCCACTTACAGGCCAACCTGGCCTTTATTTCAAATGCTCAAGAGTTCTTACAAATTAGTCATTTGCAATAATTTGCATAGGAATTGTTTGTTTGAACAATTCATGTCAGGATGTCCCTAATTTGAGAATGTTGCAATATAAAGCCCATTGAAATGACTGTTTTTGCCAGCTGGTGCTGCATATATAAACTTGAATTGATTTACCCTTGAAGATAGGGCTGTTTTTCTATGAAACTATGAAAACAGCAAAGTAGGATTTCGATTTATGCTTGGTTGAGTCTTTAGGGATCATGATGGTTTAGGAGCAGGGTTTTTCCTGGCTCCAAACGACAATCTGAATACTGCTCAAGTATTGAGATGTACTACTTTATTTAATTTCTGGCCTTTTAATAAACAGGTGTGTTTTATTCCAACCCCTTTTATCGCAGGAAAGGGCTTGATGAGTAATGGGGTTTTTTTGTGAATTAAGAAGAGAGTAACACTGGTGGTTGGACTTGTTTTGCAGGATGTATTGGTCAATCATGATGTTAACCTTCAAAGCTGTCTGTTTGTGAAAATAATCCAGCAAAACTGTCTGATGCCAAAAGAAACCAATCTGTGATGAGTGTTTCATTGTATGAGTACAGTTACAGTTTATATTTAATTCACTATCAGTGTTTTTATCAAGTGACCATCAGGGATGGTAAGTACTTGGGTTTTACAAGAAAAAAATAGTCTTGAACAGCTGAAACAGACTCTGAGAGAATTCTTTGTATCTCCTCTGACTTATCTTTCTATATATATATCTTTAGTGATTTATTTGCACGTAAGATTTTCTTTCTACATTCCTTAAAGCCTGTGACAAGTCTCCCTTCCAGTTTGGGGGTGCAATCGCTGAAAGACAGTATTAACCTTATGACTGGGTAACAGCACAAATTGTAAAAGCTTTATTTTGTTCTTCCAGTTTTTCTTCAGATACCCTGTAAACTTGTATTGGTTTTCGTGTGTGCTCTTTCTGCAGACCTCTCACTCCTGCCTAGTATTTCAGTCCGTTCTGTGGCCAGAGTACTCATTCTGGAACCTGTGTGAAGCCATTCTGCAGTATCAATTAAATCACAAATCCATCCAGGTAAGGATAATACTGAGACAGAATTAGGGTTTAGTCACACTGTGTGAGCCATGCGGTGTGTCCGAGCGCATTTGACAAGAGTCATCACTCATGTTAGGTTAAGTAACTAGTTCAGGTTCACTCATGGAATTTCAGTCTTTTCCTAATTAAAGCTATCTCCGTGAAAATCTGCATTTAGTGATGAATCTATAATGTGAGAGAACCCTGAGTCACAGCTTCCAAGAACTGCCCCAGTTAAACAAACAAATATGCTCTCCCAGAGTGATTTTCAAAAGCATGTGTGCACGTAAGAAAGAGGGAACGAACATGAGAAAGGAGTTTATTTGTTTAGACCAGGGATGTCAAACTCATTTTACATTGTGGGCCACATACAGCCCACTTTGATCCGAAGTAGGCTAGATCAGTGAAACTCACTATAAGAAAAAAGAAGTGCAGTCTCAACAGTATGTGTCAGTTTTTCGTGTTTAGTTTGAATACTCCATAGCTTTTTGTCCCCAGAGTTGGAAGGGCTGTGTAGAGTGAGGCAGTCGAAGAATACAGTGTGTTTTTGGGGTCATAATGTTTGTTATTTTTGGCCTCCTTTATTTCCTTGCTGGGAAGGATCTATATGTGACTAAAGGTCCTGTATAACTAGAATAATATTATTTAGAAGCAGAACAAAAATGTACTTTCAGATGTCTAATATAACTGAACCATACCGCTCTTTTGGTTTTGAACCTAATTGGACTTAGCTGTTTGGGTACTACTGTAGTTATGACCCCTGTCACCCACTCTCGGCCATGCTCTGCTTTTCATTAATGTGATGGCAGCTGACTGTGTCAGCTCCATGTTGCACCCTGGTCACTGTTATGACTGACTCAAAGGCCACAGCAAAGAAGAATAAAGAGAGAGCAAATATTTATTTAACTTAATAGGAATAAATGTGTCAGTATCAGTGGCTTAAAGAGGTGTATGGACTTGTTGGCAAATATGTTCAAGTATAAGTGCAAACACAGGGAAGCAAGTGAGACACGGGGCATGGATACGGTGCATGATTGTGACTGCATGTCTTCCCTGCATTTTTGTGAGTTCTTTGGAACAGCACTTCCAGCTGCTCCCACCACCCCAAAGGGATCACTACAATGGAAAGATCCCCATGTTTGATTTGGCACAGAGTTTGCAATGTTTCTGATGAAACCCTCCCATTTATCAGAGCTTTTGGACAAGCACTATGAGTATACTAGATTGTGACGCGCTGGCACTTGGTTAGTTGTTTTGGAGAATCATAAGCAGCAATAAGCAGCTGTGTTATGCATCCCATATCTGAAAAGGGCTTATGTTTTGGCTGTGTGAGTTGCAGGTTCATCACTTGAAAATGTTAACCGTAGCAATTAATGTAGATCAGTGTTACTTTGTGAAACAGACTGTTGTTAAACAGGCCGAGAAAGATTAAAGTAACTCCTGTATCTATGTATATATTTAAATGTATGTCTAATTTGGTGTGTTTGTTATTACAGAAAGCTAGAGACCTCCATCGAGAGCATCAGGCTCTGCAGCAGCTAGAAGCAGATCGTGCTTGTGTAGCAGAGCTCTTGCAGCATCACAGCAATGGAAAGCCCGCCGATAGCCAGAGAAGACAAGAGGCGCTACTACATTACACTGCCTGCCGGGAAGAACGAGTTCGAGACTTCCTAGAAGCACTGAAGCACAAAAGAGACTCTTTCTTTTCTGACTTATGCAGTGAATCCTTGTTGGCCTAAGGAGACATAGAAGAACAAATCCTCTGAAGCGGGGACGAAGCCTCTCCTATATCCTCTTCCCAAAAGGGCTTCTGTGGAAAAGGGAAGAGCAAGCAGTAACTGGGAGTGGTTTTATTTTGTTGCTGATTCATATAAGAGGGCAGTTTTACCCCTATGGGGCTGTAGAATAATCCTGCTATTTATGATTGTAGATTTAAAAACTCTAATAGGTGGAAATGTCTGGTCAAGATGTAGTTAAATCATCGTATAAACTGTCAGTTAAATGCATGCCGTTGAACGGAAGGTCATTTTATGTGAGTGAAAGCCACGGATCCTGTGTTTCGGTTCCAAAACGTTCGTCCACAGAACTTTTAAATTGGTGTTGAAGCATAAAGTGTTGTTTGTTGACTGTGATTTTGATTACATAACTATATTTTGACCAGCTTTCTGGAACAAAATAAAATGATTATTGTATGTCAGATATGATTAAATGATGTGAAATTCTCTGTTTTGTACTTACATACTACAAGTCTAAGCTTTTGTCTCCATCTGGCTTCCAAAATATGGTTATCTATTGTCTTAACTTGTGCAGCAAAAAATATGTGTATGGTCCATGCTGCTGATATATATGGACTCTCAGGGCGAAAACTGGTGATGGTGTTTTATTGGATTAACGAGTCGTTTTTGCAAGTAGATGACTTTCAGCACATAAAACTGTACCAATATAATTTCTGCTGCTACCTGTTGGAAGTATTGAGCCTTAAAGCTTATCAACTACTAATACGCTATGTATTGCAAATATTTAAATAATTGCTTGTAATTGCTATTCTGCATCTCAGTTGGTGGTATAACACAAGCAAAGAACCACTTTTACTTTTTTCCAGCTGGATGTTTGTTGGGTTTTGTTTATTTGGGAAAAAATCGAAGAAAAAATGTCTTGTCCCTCCAGAGGAAACACTTCTAGGAACCAATTTTATTTAACTTGCATCATCTATACACTGACAGAAGAATTGATAAACTTTGGTAGAACTAGAAACACCATACTATAAACATACTGCCCCACAAAAATATGCTTATATACACATACATAGGTATAAGCATGAATTTATACTACTCATCAGGCGTACAGTACTGGAATATTCTGGAATATTACTACTAATGCACAGACATGTGAACAGTATTTTAGTGTTGAATAGGTATCCTACTTTTAGCTTTTTAATATATAGTCAGATAGCTTAAAATCCACTAAACATCTACCAGTTACAAATTGTATATGTCTGTATTAGTATTTCTTCACACAACGCTTGGTTTGACCCTCAATCCCTCAGGTAATAATAATAATGACTAAATGTTGATTTTTGGTTTTACACAGGGCTAAAATTACAGTCTTACATGCTCAAGCCAAATAGATATATTCATCCACCACAAGCTGACAGAAAGCACCATAGTCTAATCTTCACCCGCGACCGTCTTTTGCCTCAAAGCTATGACATCAAACAACGTGATTGGTCAGTTGCAACGCGGGGATATTAGATGCACCATAAAATTTGGTTCTGGCGGACACTGTGAGCAAAAATTGTTCTGTTTATCCGATAGACGGTGAGAAAAGGTGCAACGACTTTGACGCGCCATTATCTGCGTATTTATTTTTTCGATTACAGCAGAACGAATCAGTCGTTCATACAGCGCCACCCCGCGACTATAATCCGTATTCCTTCAAGTTGCCGTCTGCCTTTTTAACAAATGGGAGGCGCCTCCAACCCACGTGACGCCTTTCTATCCAATGGCGAGATTCGAAACACAAAACTGGTTCAAACCGGTTTCGTTCTTATATTTCAGTGTATAAACTACAAGAACATTCGTTTGCATTATACATTCGCCATTTTCCGCTGTGAGCGCTTGGTTGGCGTCTGTTATCGCTTCGAAAAAAGCCGTTCTCGCAGCTGTATTTTCCTGACATTTTTCTTCGTTTCCCGCTGAGAACATGGGCAAAGCAAAGGTAAAAAAAAACATGAATTTAAATTCAATTTAAGTCTGTGCACTGGAATCGTTTTCGTAGCATTAAGTTAACACAAGACTGCGCCTGATATTTGTGCTTAAGAAGAACGTCATCATCCCTAACAAGCGTTTTAGCAATGGCGGTCTGACAGTGGAGAGGAGCGCAAGCATCCTCCCACTCGTCGAAAACAAAAGTTGAAATTTTTGCTCATTGTTTAAAATTATTCTTATGAGTTAAACGCGTACAGTTGCGTGTATTTTTGTTAATTTTTTTGTCTCCCAGCGCCAAACTCTGGTTAGTCCAGCCGTTGACATTGCGTTGTGCAAAATTTCTGACACCATCTTTTTCCCCCCCCCTCTCTTTGGCAGTAGGCAGGGCACAAATCTTGCTGTTGTAAACGCAGTAACAAACTTTCGATATGGACGGTGACTGTTTTTCTTTATTCGTTTTCTCAACCTACGCGTCGATGCTTGAATGCATAACTTGGGATCCGAATTAATGAAGATAAATATGAACTGCGCCGTTATCAAGCAATCAAAATAAGCTCGAACGCAGGCTGCAAATTTGAGGAAGGAGTTGGGGGAGGGGAGGTGGCGATTATTATTTTTTTCCGCTCAGGTTTTGAATAAGTGCCAGCCTGGTTCTTGCATCGTCGTTTGAAATGGGTTTGTTAACAGTAGTAAATATTTATTAAAAACGTCAAACGCGATTAGATTGCAGTTTGCAAGTGCGCAGCAGAAAAAAATGTATAAATACAAAAATAAGATTTTTTTTGCACATTTGTGTGCGTTTTGTCGTATTTTGAATGCATTCATTTATGGTGCAGTGCGTGGCCATACTATTAAAAAAATGCATATTTAACGATTTAAAATTAGATTATCACAACAGGATTGTTTGGGGTGTTTTTCGATGAAAATCTCAGTCTCATCCGTGATTTTTTTTGTTGTCTTCCTTGAAACCTCTCCAGGCATTCGTTGAGCTCCATTTGTCGTGTAGGTACAGATTAGTAAAGTAGTAATCTTATCAGTTTCCCAACAGCTGTCTGTAGGCGCGCACTGATACAAAACAAAGGAAGCTGTCAGGGCGCCAAGGCGGTGTCATGGTGACAGGACTGCCCAAATTTGAATTCAAATATGCGCGGGAAAGCTCTTTGTGAACTTGAAAAATCAAGAGCAGTGTTAAAAAAATGTAATACATATTAGATCTTCTGTGAACATTTTTATATTAAAACAATGTAAAATAGTGCACACAGAAAATAAAAAAAAACGTTTTGTGCTATTTAAATCTGTATTTATTAATATTATTATTATTATGTAGTTTTACTTTTCAGTTTGTAATGTTTTCCCCTTCCTTGTCTTACAGGCACCTGCTTCCTCTGAGGTTTGTCTAAAATTAATATATTTTTATATTGTGTTGATGCAGCAGTTGCATTTAGAATTTGTGGGTAAATGCTTGTTTTTGATGTATCGTTTGTATGTTTTTTGCCACTGATACAATATATTTTGTGCCCTTATTTAGGATGATGAGTGTTGTACTTAGTTAATATATTTATTCAAACTCTACTCCCATTTTTATGTATTTTTATATATCTCTCTTTTTTTTGCTTTTGTTTTAACTTACTCTTTGCAACTGCATACTCTTTAAAGGTCATGTATAAACAAAGCTATTAATATTGATGCAAAATAAGACACTGTTTTAACTTTCACTTCCTTGTGGCTCTACAGCCTAAGAGAACCTCTGCACGGCTGGCATTAGTAAGTTCTTTTTAAACACAATTAAGCATTTTTAGATGTACTCAGTATATTTAATGTGCAGCATCCTGTAGTTTTTGTTAAATGTTCACTATTTTTGTAAGAAGCAACCACTTGAAATTGAAATTGAAGTAGTCTATCATGTGTGTATTAAATTTTACACTTTACATTTTTTGAGAATATATTAAAGGTTCTCTTACACTCTTACCTGATGTGACATGAGGATGTAGCCCATGATCAAGAAGTTTATTAACTTGTAATAAGCTTTTATTACCTAGGATTTCACGGATCCATTTTCTGTTATCTCAAACTGATTTAAATATCCTCTTTCTTGTCTTGTAGAAACCGAAACCTGCAGCAGTGGAGGCTAAGAAGAAGGCTGTTGCAAAGGTATAGAACCAAAATCTTGCACGCTTACTATGGGGGAACAGCTCTGTAAGATGTTTGCCACATGTTTGCTTGATTCATTTCTGTGATTAATTTGTTATTATCATTTTATTTTCTAGAGGGCACCCAAAACAAAGAAAGCCAAACCCGCTGAGAATGGGAGCACCAAGGCTGAGGTTTGTTTCTGTTACACTGCAAATTAATAAATGTTAGATCAAACAGATGTTCTTATATTTTCCAGGTCGTTTCTCCTTTTTTTAAATGTTATCATAACTTATTTGCAAGCTTTAATTGTTATTGAGTTTAGTGCAAATGTAAATTTGAAAAAAAAAGAAGATTAAATGAGTAAAAAAAGAACTAGATATTAAATAATTGATGTGTATGAGTTCTGGAAACCTGTGAGGCAGTTGTTGTTTTATTTGTTCTCATAATGGATAAGTGTTGCAAGGACTCCTTTTAATATAATCAATAAAATTAAATCTGAGTGCAAGAATAAGTTGTCATGTGACTAAAACACTGCAGTTGACATTGCTGTTGGCGTGTTTTTTGTTTTTCTGTCCGCAGGAGCCCAAGGCTGAAGCCACTGAAGCCAAATGAATAGTGGTTGATGTGCTCACTCTGTGTACTTGGTGATTGTACAGTTTTAAATAAGTATTTTTTACCAAGTTTTATATTACAAATGTCATTTATAGTTTTGTTTTTGGCTTGCACTTGATGTAACAAAATTTTGTTTTCACATTCATATCCATTTTATATCAATTTTAAAAACGGATACCGTCCATATCCTGTAGTCGTGGCATTTTTTAGTTTGTCTAATCCAGATTTGTTTTAAACTTCTAAACAACAGATGTAACAGCTTTTCCAACAAGTTGGATTTTGAATCTAATTGTAAACATAAGGCAGCTAAAGCTTAAAATTTTGCAGGAGAATATGAATTTGCCGTTTATCTCCTTGTAGTTTAATGTTGAACTAATAAAATTATTGCTTTCCAAATGTTTTAAAAACATTGTATGTTGATGTAAAATGCCACAGACAAAAAAATAATATTGTTATTAGGTCAAAAAAAATGTTTAAGTTTGATGCGTCCCAAAAAAATGGCTGATGTGAACCCAGTCATCTGATAAAAACTTCTGTTAAGTTATGTTTCTGTTTTCTGCTTTTCTGACTCCAATGGTTGATCTTAATGTTCTTGAATAAAAATTTTCAAAATGTCCTTTTTGGGGTCACTGTTGAAATGGAAATCCTCGATGAAGGAACAGAAAAATGGAAATGCTGCGACACGTCGTTGAAAAGGTGATGCAGCGACCTTGAAAAGGTTTCATCATAAACAAACTGCAGGCTCCACCATTTTGGCAGGACATCCATTTT